AAAAAGATCAGAATACTTCTACTACTCATCACATATTTTGAACCTGCAAATAACCAAATCAGTGCTCAGCGGGCAGCGAAGCGAAAGCGGAAGTACATCGGACCAACCCATCTTGGACCCACCACATACTCTTTGGGAGAAGTTTGCTACACGCACACAGATGTCAGCAGAGTTTCTCAATCTGTCACTTTGCTAGGTGGAGTGCGCTTGATGGAGGAACGAAAAATCGGATACAGCAACCATGACTTTCTGACAACTCCTGTGAACCGGCTTCCGATGAACACTTGACCCGAGAGCGTGTTTGCATCACCCTCAACACGTTATACCTGTTAGCGACTCCTTTTTTCCTTTATTTGACAACTGTGGAACAACACCCATGCGCCTGTGTCAGAAGTTTCATGCTAACCACCGTTAGCTGCTGCTGCTGCTGCTTCACGTAGCTATGTTTTCTCTGCTAGCGACAAAAAGTGGTACTTTAATTGTGGGAGTCTAGTTTGTTTTGTTGTTGTTTTAAAGCTACGAAGTAAGCGTCATTTTAGACTGGTTTCCCACCCCCCTCCTCCTCCTCTCTGTGTAAAAACGAAGCTATCAATCTGTCAGAAATGGGACTACACCCGCTGGAGTTTAGTGAATGCTATCTGGACAGCCCCTGCTTCAGGGAGAAAATAAAGGCACACGAAGCAGAGCTGGACAAAACTAACAGATTTATCAAAGAGCTGTACAAAGATGGGAAGAACCTCATCAATGCAACGAAGCGTAAGTTGATTTTCCACGTTATACTGTAAGAAAGGTGTCAGAAAACTCATGCACTTGCCTTGGGAAGAGGTCTGGATGGTGTTGCTCAGTTTTGCCATTTGGTTTTGTTATGAGCGGGGAAAACAGCTTGTTTGAAAGTCAGAGATGATGAGATTATTATGAGACACTAGGCATGATAAGGTGAAGGTGTGGTCTTTTTGAATATTGTTTACACAGTTATTCCCATTGGATATATAATATTATATATAATTCCTGAACCAAAGGCCCCAGCAGAGTTATTATATGTTTTTGTATTTTGCATTAGTTTGTATTACTATTCTTTCTTTCTTTCTTTCTTTCTTTCTTTCTTTTAATTGTAACTTCGGGTACTTTCCAGAGTGGGTTTTGCTGGTTTCAGTTTTGTTGTTATTGTTTAACAATGTTTGGTTTTTACTTTAGGTTGTATTAGTTTCAGTAATAATTTCAGGGTTTGATTTATCATAATATGGGGGGGTATGAGTGCACCATTTGGTTAAAAAAAAAAAAATCCTGATTATTTTTTATTTTTATTTAAATCACGAGGATGGGACATTTGTGGGGGTTTGTACAAGATGAACCTGTTGAACAAGATCTGTAGACCAGGACATCTCATGCAGCACCACAGTCCCTCATTATAATGCTACCTTCATCCAATCACTGCAGCTTCTGTCAGATGGTTATTGCACTCGATAATATTTCGATTAACCGTGCAGCCCTGTTGGGGGGTTTTGCTGGGGGCCAGATTTAAGAGGCTCAGAATAGGTATTACTGTGCAATCACAACTCTCGATGAAGACAGTTGACTCACAGTCATGTGGAAATCCCAGCCTCAATAAACAGATGCACCAATGCTTCATCATGCTTGTTGTGTTGACATATCTGCCCAATTTGAGACTAAGGGACTAAAACTTAAAGCATTTCCTGTATGTTTGAATTCAGTTTCAATTAGTTTTCCAAGAACCCAATGTGGTTTCAGTTCCTTTTTATTTCTGTTTCTTCACACCTGGTTTTAGATTTTACTTTAGTTCACTGTAATGACCTTGGCCCTGCTGATAACCCCCCTGCTCTGTACTCTCTCAGCCACACACACCTCCGCTGGGTAGACATTATTAGATTGTTATCTCTTTGAACTCTAGTCTTTTGGGCAGGGCTCGCCTCAAGGTGCCCAGTGCTTATCAGAGATCTTACAGTTATGTATTGTTCAATAGTTTTTTTGGGGGGGTTTTCAATTCAGTTTACTTTCAGGTAGTTTCCAGAGCGGGTACGCTTGTTACAGTTTGGTTTCTATTATTTAAAATGTTTTAGTTTTAGTTCCAGTCTCCATAAACAGTAATAACCATAGACAATAATAACCTTGTTGCTTGAACTTCGACAGTCATCAGAAATAGACTGCTGTTATATGTCTTGTTGGGAAATCCTTTAGACTCTTTATATAGTGTTGTATATATGATTGCATCCCATCAAAAGGCTATTAAACATCTCAAGTTGCTGAAAGATTTATTGTCGAACATGGCCTAACAATATTTAAAGTCTTCAAAAATGACCAGCAAAGAATTTCAGTCCTGTGGGAATGTAACAGTTGACACTAATGTTGTTGTTTTTTAAGCACATCATTAATGATACAGTAGTATCAATGCTGCGTTGACAGATAGGCTCCAGGCGTGTCCCAGCAGCAGTGCTACAATTGCTTAAAGCTTTGGACAGTCACACAACATGTTTTTTTTTTTCTCCTCTAAAAGCACCAGACTTACTTCACTGTGTGTGTTTCAATAATGCTAGTTAGTCGCAGGAACGTCAGGTATGTCTTTGATTTTGCCTTTAGGACAGCCTCATTTCTTCAAGGCACAGATTCCACAGGGATCTTAGTTCAAGCTGACTTCTTCTTCGTGTCGAACTGTTTTTTTTTATCGTTTTTTTTTTCAAGCTGATTTTTGTGGCACTTTTATGGTCTGGAAACAATGTAATACTCATTCATTCGGGTCCAGGCCACAAGCCAAATGTGGCAGTAAAGTTGTGCCAGGAATCCCTACGCTGCTTAAACAATGTACTATTTTACCGTGTCATGATAATATGATCATATTGTGTTATAAAAAAAAGATTGTGCAAATGTAATGATTTTGAGAAAATTGGAGATAAAACATACTATTTTAGGTTTGCTTTGCTCATTTTTACGAGTTTAGTCCGATGTAATGCAGCATCTCATTGTTCTCAACACCTGGAAAATCTGAGGTCATTGCTGCTTTGTGGAGGGAACTGAAATCACTGTCACTTACGTCTGGAAACAGCAGGTGCTCCAAGATCTGGGAGAAAGCAAACAGCAGCAGTGCTATTTAGGTGCCCTACGGTGTGTCAAGTGAAAACCTGTACTGTTGACACCAGGCACGGCGGATCTATAGATTCAAGCTGTTTAAGCACGTTTCCTCCTCCTCAATCACCTCCTCTGTAGTTTCAGTCTCGCTCTTGCAGTGGCTGACCTGAGAGGAGCCCGGCGTGGCCTGATGCTGCCGTAGCTCCTTCTGCGTCGCACCGTCCTCCTGTACTTTACTACCGTACTGTTGTGACGCTAAGCATGTCATTTGCATACTATTGTAGCTGTTAGCATGAGTGATGTTGCTTTTCCGCTCTGACCTCTCTCATCACGGTGAAAAATGCAACTTTATCACATATGGAATCAACTTTAGATCTATTGGTTTGTGTGAAAATATCAGGAGGTGGAGTGATCACACCATGTGTCAGGCATTGCCTAAATAACACACTGTTTCCATTTGTAACCTTTAAGTAAACAGTAAATTAAGCATTCTGCCTTTCTGGTTATGTTTAATATACCTGCTGACAGCGTTAGTTCCTGCGGTCACGTGGAGTTACCAGGCGAACTTCCACAGAGCACTATGGTGAACTCTGGTATTAGCCATTGCTCACAGATGAGCTGATATTGATGCTCAGCTATGTTGGTGTAAACTGATACGGCCATATCTCGTTTCAGGAGGACATGTCACGTCTTGTGTTTCGCGCCTAACCCGACTGTAGCCAAAACGCGCGTCACTTTTTTAAATTTGTGTCCAGCATAGTAACACATATCAAATATCAATAGTCTGTTAACCCCTGTTAGGGCTGTGTGGGCCTGTTGCTTATAATGAGAATATGACATGGAGGAGTCTGGTCATACGCTCCCACTGGGACTGCTGTGCTTCTTCCGGTCCCTTCTACCAATGTCAAATGACTGTTTTTGACATTCTTTGATCACTGTAATCATGAGGTGTTTACTCTCTTTGCTGAAAGCAGCAGTAGAGCCACTTGTCTAACTGCCACAGCAAAAGACTCTTTTCAGTGTTAACAAGCTATAAGCCAATATACTACTACCCTTTATATATTTATATATATATA